ACCCTTGACACTCTTGGGGGACAAAATGCTAGTTTTGAACCTGAGATAGGCCTCTTTATGTATGGAAAGCAATGTGGGGATCCCAGCTACTTGGAGACTGAGTGTGCTGGATAGCTTTAGTGTCAACTTGACACAGCTGGATTAAGGGAGCCTCAATTGGGGAATTGTCTCCATTGAACTGGCCTGTGGCCATGTCTGTGGGGTACTTCCTTGATTGTTGTGTGATGTGGGAGGGCCCAGCCTACTGTGGGTAGTGTCACCCCTGGGCAGGTGGGCCTGTGTTGCATATAAGAAAGCAGGCTGAGCAGGGGCCAGGGGAGCAAACCAGTAAGCAGCATTCCTCCACAGCCTATGCTTCAGGTCCTGCCTCCAGGTTCCTGCCCTGAGTTCCTTCTTTGGGCTCCCTGATGAATTATGACCTGGGAGATGTATGACAAATAAACCCTTTCCTCCCCAAATTGGTATTGGTCAGAGTATTTTGCCACAGCAATGGAGAAACAAACTAGGACACTGAGACAAGAGGATCACTTGACCCTCAAGTATAGGGCCACACTGGGCAACATAGGAAGACCCTGTTCCAAAACAAGCAAACAAACGAGAAGAGCACAAATAAGTTAAACTAGTAAGCTAGTAGATTTGTATTTAAACCCACTAAGAGATTTGCTACATTAACTTTACTACATTAAATGTAAACAGTCTAAACATCTCAAAAGAGAAACTGTATGGAGAACTTTAAAAAGTGGGTCACTTTAAATTAAAAAGCAAAGACCAAAAAAAAAAAAAAAAAAAAAAAAAAACCCAGAGGTTGAAAGTAAAACGATGGGAATAGGTTTCTCATACAAGCATGAATCAAAAGAGGCTATATTAACATTAGCCTTCCAAATGAGGAATACTTCAGAGATAAGGGGAGGGTATTATTTGACAACAATGGGGTTTATGAAGTAATAATTCAAGAAATTTACCCTTTAAAACTCTCCAACAAAGCAAACAGTAGCCCAAGAAAGTTTAGCTTGCAAGCTCTAGTAAACATTTATAAGACAAGTAATACTAATTCTACTCAAAATTTTTCAAATACTGTAAAAGGAAGAAATATTTCCCAAACCAATGAGATTAGTATTAGACTAATAAAAAAATAATTAAATGAAAGGTATCCTTCATGGACACTGATGCACTAAACAAACAACTACAATAAAACCCACCATTACCGAATGAGGTTCAACCAGATAATGTATGGTGACACATTTGTTAAGTTGTTATATTAACAGATAACTCACTAAATACAGTAAAATTTTTTGATGAAACTCAATATCCACCATGATTAAAATTCAATATAACAGAATGGGAATGAACTTAGTATGATAAAAGATTACTTGCTTTGTTCTATAAAGGCTGTTATAACAAACTTGGCTAGATGGAGTAATTTATATACAACAGAAATTAATTTCTCACAAGACTAGACACTAGGTAACTTAAGATCACAGTTCTAGCAGATTTGATCTAGAAAAAGGTTGCTTTCCACTTCAGAGACTAGTCTTTTTACTGTGTCCCCACATGGTGGTGAGGTGGAGTGGGACAGGGAGTTATCTGGAGTTTCTTTTAAAAAGACACTTATCTACCTATGAGGGTCAAGATCATATACACCCCCAAACCCTACTCCTCCCAAATACTCCCATATTGGAGATTAAATTTTAATACACACAATCTGAGGATGATGCAAAATTTGGCCTATAATATCACTCTATCATAGTTAATTAAAATGGAAGGCTGAAATCAGGAAGAGACAAGGATAGCTGATCTCACCCTCCTATTCACCATGCTGTTAAGGGGAAAAAAAGGGAGGATAACATATATATTTACATATTAGAAAAATAAACAGTTCTGTATTTACAATGACAAAAAATTTCAAAGAATATGTAAAATAAGTTACTGAGAGAAGATAGAAAGGATGTAGAGTTCAAAATCAATATGCAAAAGCCAACTGCATTTCTATACACTAGCATTGAACAAGAAATCTCAGAAAGTAATCATTTATAATAGAACCAAAATTACAAATATAAGCCTAACAAAACTAGCAATATTTGGATAGCATGTTTATAAAAGAAATGCAAAACTTATCTAAATAACTGGAAACAGGCTGTGTATACAAATCAGAATACACAATATTAAGATGTCAATTCTTTGCAAATTCATCTATGCTTCAACACAATCCAAATGAAAATTCCTTCTGGGCTTTTTTGTAGAAAAGTTTTATGGGGAAGGAAAGAAATTAGAATAACCAAAGAATTTCTGTGTGTATACTACACACGTGTGTACAGGTATGTATGAGTTAGGATTTGGAGACCAGAAGCTGAAGTCAGGTGTTGGGTCAAGTACCTTCCTCCATTGCTATGCTATTCTCTCCTCTCCTCCCCCACCCCTCCCTCAGTTCTTTTCACTAAGCCCATGGCTCACTCACAGCAAGTTCTGGGGATCCACCTTCCTCTTGCATGCCCCCTCTCCCCCATGCTGGGGTCACAAGCGCATAGCCTCACTAGGCTTTTCATGTGGGTGCTGAAGATCCAAACTCAGGTCCTCATCCTTGAATGGTAAGCACTTTACCCACTGACTCATCTACCCAGCTCCAGCAAAAAATGATTTTTAAAAATAAGAAAGTTTAAGAGTTCACATTTCCTGATTTCAAGACTTATTACAAAGCAAAAACAATCATGATAGAACATTTGTAAAATCAAATCACAGGCACAAAGATCATAAGATCATGGAAACTATCAGAAGTAGATTCCCATTTATGGTCAACTAATTTTCAACAAAATTCAATGGGAAAGGGAGTGTTGCCAACAAATGAGACTAATATGACATTTGGTAAACAAGTCTTAACCCTTTCTTCACAACATAATTTTAAAATCTAATTCAGAATGTGCAAGATACTGTGACATAAAACCCAAAACTATGAAACATGTAGCAGAAAACATAAGAAACCTGAACAACTTTGCAATGCAAAGAATTCTAAGAACACAGAAGCGCAAATCATAAAATATTCATCAACTTTAATTCTGATTAAAAGCTCCTTTTTAAATATGAGTCTAATTCTTGTGTATGTATATGCCACACTTGTGTGAGTGCCCATGGAGGCCAGAAAAGGTTGTTAGATCCCTTGGAGCTGGAGTTATAGGCAGCTGTGAGCTGCTTGATGTGGGTGCTGGAAACCCAACTCAGACCCTTTGGAAAACTAAAGTGTTCTTAACTCCTGAGCCATCTCTCCAGCCCCTCCTCTTTTATACTTTGCAAAATGAAAGTTTCATATTGAAACGTGTTTACATGCCTGTCAAAGCAGTTGTATAAATGTATTTCAAAAATTTTAAAATTCATCAAGCTGATTTTTAAAAAAATGGGTGAAAATCTGAAGGAAAACTTTATAAATGAAGACATACACAAGCAAATTCTCAACATCATTGTCATCCAATAAATTTAAGTTAAAAATCACTACGGGCCAGAAACAGTGGCAAGCCCACAATCCCTGTATTTGGGAGCCTGAGGCAGGAGAATTGGGAGTTCAGGGCCAGCTTGGAAATACAGTGAACTTCAGGACAGGCTAAGTTACAAAGCAACACCCAAGTTTCAAAAAAACCAAAGTAATAAACAAATGAACAATCAAAACAGTGTGATACTACAGTTTGCCCACTAGAAGAGTTCAAATTAAACATTGAAATAACCAAGTGTGGAATGGAGACATGAAGAAGTCGAACTGTCATGTCACTGGTGGACAAGAAAAATGGGACAGCCACTGTGGGAAAATAGTGGGGCAGTTCCTTAAGTGACTAAACATTCACTTACCACATAAACCCCAAATTTCACTTCTAGGTATTTTTCAAGAAAATTTATTTTAAAAAATCCACACAACAACTCAGAACGAATAAGTATTTTCAGTAGCTTTATTAATAATAACCCCAAACTGGCAATATAACCCAAATATCTATGAATAGGTAAAATGGCTAAAACTGTGATAAATCAACTGTCATGGACTATTCTACAATAAAAGGAAGTGAACCAGTTAAATATACAAAAGAAAAAAAAATCTTCAAAAACATGATCCTGAGAAATGCCAGATGCAAAGAAGTACATATTACATAATTTCATTTATATGACATATTAGACCAAATGAAACCAATGTACAGTGAGAAAAAGAAAACGAGTGGCTGAATACAAAAGTGCAGTAAGGAAGTTTCCAGGGAGAAAAAATACTCTGTATCTTGACTGTAGTATGTCATAGTTTACTCTTAATTGTGATGGTTAGTGACATAAGAACACACATTTGTGAAAAGAAAACAAGCTGCACATTTTAAATAAGTACATTTATTATATTTCCTCAATAAAGTTCATTTTTTGAAAAGACAATCTCTTCAAAAAACTAGTATACAAGAAATAATGGTGATATCCATATATAATCACCTGAAAAGATGAAAAAAAACAAACAAACAAAGAAACATCCTAACAAAACCCAATACCCACTACTTAAGGTTTAACAAGAATGAGAACAGGGGCTGGCGAGATGGCTCAGCAGGCAAAGACTTGTCACCAAGCCTTACAACCTGTATTCAATCCCCAAAACCCACATAGTAGGAGAGAACCAAGTGCCACAAGCTGTCCTGACCTCCATATCAATGCTGTGGCATGCACACAGTCACGTGTGTATAAACACACACAAAAAACATAAGAAAAGAAAATCTTGGCAAACATAGAAGGGCATATTCGAATTTTAAAAATATCCTATTTAATGCTAACTCATCAGAAGCACTCCCCTTAAAAAAAACAAAAAAACAAAAAAAAACCCGCTATTTAAAAAAAAATATTTTACTATTTTTATTTTATGTGTTTGAATGCATTGCCTGCATGTATGTGAGTGCATCCATGTCGTGCAATGCCGCGGAGGTCAGAAGAGGGCTTCGGATTCCTCTGGAACTGGAGTTAAGGACGGTTCATAGCCACCATGTGGGTGGTGGGAATCGGACCCAAGTCCTCTACAACAGCAGTCAGTGCTCTTAACCACTGAGCCATCTCTCCAGCCCCAAAACTCACTATTTTTAACTATTAGTGCTATTATCCAATGACATGTATGTAATACTTGGTAGGCAAAGTGAGAATTATAAAAACTAGAAAGGAAAACACAAAATTTAGTATTTTCAGATAATTATCAATAAAAATATCACACTAAAACAGAAAAACTCAAAAGCTTTTCTAGAGCCAGGAGAAAAAGACAGAAATAAATGTTACTGAAAAGTTTCTATCTACACAGCAATCAAACCAAAAGAAGCTAGGAATTTGAAAAAGGAAATATCATATATATGCAGGGACAACTAAATCTTTACCTATCATAAAGCAAGATGAGAATAAAATTCTGAGAATAAGGAAGGGGTTCACACTACAGTCAGTTCTACCTACCTCATTCAAAATAACAAGGGCTTCTAAATTTAGACCATAGTTCATCTGAAGTCCACCTAGAAGAAATGCTCAATCAAAAATATCTCTGAAAAGAATAAATAAAGAGGAACAGATGGCTACCCAATTTAAATACACATAGCCTCTACTTGAGCAATTGTATTTCTATGGATCTGTGCTCCAGAAATAATCACACACAAAGTTTTCTGCATTATGAACAGTGGCTGGGAGTCCCACATTTTACATTACATTCTTCCATACAGTATAAATTTTTAACATCAAGGATTCAAAGTTTACAATTAAACATCAATCAGTAAATAAGAAAGTTATCTTTATTATAAAGCATAATTTTCAATTGCAAAAAGAAACTGTAATCAATTTAGGGAGGCCTACAAATAACAAGGAGATGTGTCCAAGGCATATAATTAGGTGAAGCAGCGTTATGGTAATGTGTTTGGTGGAATCTCTCACCTCAAAAGCCAACTGCATGTATCTGTCTTTAAAAGTGAATTTGTTAAAGGATTTTGATAGATGACCATCAAATCTAAATACTGGAGTGGGACCGGAGGATGAAAATATTCACATTTTACCTAATACTTCTTTATTTATACTGCTGAATTTTACACCAAGGTTGCATGTCTGCAATAAAAAAATTAGTTATTTCATATAAAAATGACAAGAATTCCAGAAGCAATTACAAAACCGAATTGTTCAATTGTTTGTTATTCATGTTTATTCGTATTCTCTTCAAATGATCTGTAAGTCTTCAGCAAAGGTTACTGGCAAAAACCAAGCATTTCATGATGAAAATAGAATATATTAAGCTCTCTTTAAAAAGGAAATCGTATACATGGCAGAACAAGGAGACTCGAAGCCATTTTCTGTGTAGATGTAATTTTTTTTTAAATGCCTATCAGAGAAACATCCCAGATTCTTCTTCCAGCAAGAACTGTTATCCTCCTCTCCTTTTCTTCAACTTGGCCCGAGAGCAGCTTTCAACTCACCATTTTGAATGTGCGCAAAAATGATTACCCGGGAGGCAGCCAGGGGGGCAGCCCTGGGGGGGTTGAAGGTGCCTCTGACAGTGGCGTGCTAACGGAGGAGCATCGGGGCAATGGCGCTAAGCGACTGGCACGGCTCAGACAGGGCGTCCGCAGGCCCGGGCCTCGGCGACCATGGGGAGAATGCAAACGCAGGCGGCCGCAACTGCAGGCGTAACTGGCAGCAGGGCAGGGGCCGCAGGCCAGTGGCGCACCACGACCCGCAGCGTCTGGCTGGCAGATCCCCCGGCGTGAGCGGGGAATGCGGGGATGTAGGGGGGCGGCTGGGCCGGGGCAGCTAGGGCTGTCGGGGTCCTTGGCCCAAAGGACCGCAGGGCGGGCCGCGGGAGTCCCACGGTCCCCGGCGGAGCCACCGAGCGGAAGGCGGTGGGCGCGGCGGCTCGGGCTGCATTGAGGCCCCGAGCCCGCCGGACAGGGCCGGGAGGCAAAAGGGCTCTCAGCCATCAACCCCACCCACCATGGCCGGCGCCGCGGGCCCGGCCCGCTCCTCAGGAGCCAAGGCAGCGGCTTCCACGCCCAGACCCCCACACTCGCGACAGAGCAAGCCAGATTGAAAAATAAAAAAAATCCCCTCACCGAAATGTGCAGCGGCTCCTGAGCGAGAACAGCGCTCGATCCTCCACCCGCCACCACCGCCTTCTTCTCCGCCTCCGACTCCTCCCCCGCCGAACGCGCAGCGGCTGTACCGACGACGGCGGCGGTGGCGGCGGCGGAAGCAGAAGCGGTGGCGGCGGCGCGCCCCGCCCCTTGCTCCTCGAAGGAGGCGGAGGAAGTGAGTTTTAGTCCCGCCCCCCTGACAGCGTCGACCAATAGACTTCACGGGCCTCTGCAGGGGCAAATGCATACATCCAATCGGAATCTGGGAGTGGGTTTATGTCAGTGGTTGGGACGTGGCAGAAAAAGGGAAAATAGCTAGGGCTGTCCCTCTGCCCCGCTCCACAGGCACGCTCTCAGAAGGCCTTCGTGGATTGGCGGAAGACTGGAAAGACGCGGCCAGGCCCCGCCCCCTGCTGGGCCCAGCGCCTGCCCCTGCAGCACTGCGACGTTTGGGAGCGGGAGGCGCGCCGTGGCCAGCTGAGCTGCACGGCCTTTTGTGGTTTGGACTGAGAGAAGAAGGCGGGGCCTAGGGATGGGAAGGGAGAATGCGGAGGTAGGGAAGGACTGGCGCAGTTACACTGCTCCCAATTCCTATCACCCCCACCAAAATGGAGTCAGGGAATTGGGTCCTGATGCCATTAGAAACTCAGCAATAGCAGTTGAGGTATCAGGAGAAAAAAAAAAAAAGAAGAAGAAGCAATTGCAGTTCCGATAGCTTTGGGGAAAGAAAAGAGCCTTGTTTGCCCACCCTGACGACGCACCGCATCGTGGTGCTTTCTACCCTACCAGCAGTCAGACCCTCGCCCTGGTCTCTGAGTCTAATGCTATATAGGGCGAACCTTTCCTCTTTATGGATGTGGCCTGACCAGTGTTTTGCAGCTGACATCTCGAAGCTAAATCGGTTGTCAGGCTGGGAGGTAACAGGTCCGATCACATGCAACCAAAATAAATACAACAGCTGGAGTCCCTGGAACCTTGGTTAATTTAAACCCAGTAACAATTTAAGTTAGTACATTATGTCACTGGTGCACGTGTCCTCTCATAGTGAAGTCTGTCTGCGTCTCTGATTACAGCCCTACTCTGTTACTCCCCGCCCCAGACCCGAACCCCATTGCCTAGTGCCCGAAGACCAAAATATATTTATCTCGCCGCCTCTTCCACTAATTAAGAGCACCATTTTTTCTGTTGTCCTTAAACTGTAAAACCTACCAGTGAACTGCAAGTATTTTTCCCACTATTGATGTGAACGAATTAACTGAAATTTCTCATAGAATCCCAGGCTATGAGAATTTGTGAAATCAAAGTCTTATCCCCAGCCTAGGTCAGTAGTACATATTTTACAAAAAACAAAACTATTTCCCACTTGATATTACTCTGCCTTTACATACCTTTCCAAGTCCCTGCCTTCTTGAAAGAGAATTCATATTTTAATTACATTCCTTAATTTCCCCCTTAGAGTCTTATAGATGATTGGTCCAACTGAATCCACTAACCTGTTGGCAATGAAAGGATTTCCTAAATTTCAATCTTTTTCATGCAATATCTGTGTATAATACTTGCAAAATTCTTTTTCAAATGATTTTTTCAATTTTTAAAAAAGAACTATGAAAGTATAGGAAATAGAAAACATCTTTCAACTAAAAGTTGAAAGTAACTAAGAAAAGTGAATGCTAAATACTAGTTTTAAGTTCTGGTTGCCAGCTAACGATGCTGAGCCTGGTATCCTCTTTCATTATCAAGCATTAAACATGTAATAAAGACACAACACTCAAATGACATTTTTTATTGTAATATCATCAAAGGATAGAAAAATTAGACCCCAAATAGCATTCAGTTTTTCACTATGTGAGTCATTGTTTTTAATCTTGCATGAATGTCCCAAGCACAGTCATCTAAAGCAGCACAAATGATTTTATGTTGCTGTCTGAGAAATGCTAAGAAGTGGTACCTTAAAGCATGTACTCCTGACTCAGACAGATTCTCATGCTAGATCCTGCTTATATACTTGTGTGCTCCTGGACAACATACTAACCTCTCTGTCTGGGAATTCCTTACTTAGATAGGGAGAATAATAATACCTATTTATGCATTGTTAATGATAGATAAAGTAGCCTATGGATAAATCCAGTTGATCGGGAGAAAGCACCAGGACACAGATAAAACTCCGTCGGAATAGAGTTTATTAGCAAAGGAACACATGGGACAGAGTCCCTTCCTGGCAGGGAAAATGTCTGCCTGGGTCATAAGCTGGGTGTCTTAATATAGGGGGAGGCTTTTGGGGGGTGCAGAAGTGGGAAGATATATATATATATATTTAAAGTTAGGCAGGGGAAGTGGGAGAGCGGGACTGTTAAAACCTGTCCTCTTTAGAGATCAAAAGGGAAGCCTGCTGTGTTGGCCAAACATTGGAGAAAAGTCTGCATCTCTTGACTTCAAAGACCAGGGTGCTTATCAACTCAGTTCCCTTTTCTCAGGGACTTGTGAGGTCTGTGAGGCCCTGTTGGTGAGGAGGCAGGGCTATCTGAGCCTTAACATTCCAGCCTTTTGTGTTATAGGATAGGGGGTGCTGTTGTCGTCTTGCTACTTCCTGCTGGACAGGGTCAACGTGGCGGGGCTGGATTAGGGTTCAGTTAGACAGCAGGGTTCCCTCTTCATGGATCTCAACAGGGTCCTCGATGGTTGACAGGTGCTTGTATACATGTGGAGGGAAGGAAAGTAACAACTGATTAAAATTAGTATGAGAGTAAGAGTTCATTTTTGGATTTTGTCCTGAAAATATCTGAAGAGGCAAAGAGCAATGGTTAGCACCAAGGTAATAGCTCATTTTTCACTTTTTTTTTTTCTTCTTCTGCCGGGGCTGAACTTGAGAGTGATGGACTCAGGACTTGTTTTCAGGCATTTTGATGCTGTTGGAGTGGCTAGAATCAGTGTCAGTTACCTCTCAAAGGCTTCTAGATAGGGAGAGAAAACAAATTTAGCCACCATTTAATATTTTTTGGCTAGAGCAATAGTGGGTTGCCTCCCTTAGCTGTAGGTGGGCACTACAGTATTGCAGACCAAGATTTGAAGTCTTACATCTGAGTAACATTGTCTTATCAGGAGATAATTGTCTAAATAACATAACAACTTATGTCTAATGTCTGGGTTATATAATCCCTTGAACCCTTAAAATATACTGATGACTTTAACTTTTGGTTATACTTTCCTTTTGGGTGTTTAAGACCATAATGTTAGCCCTTTTCTCAGGGGCTTCTGAGGTCCATGAGGCCATGTTGGTGAGGGTGCAGGGCTATCTGAACCTTAACAGTTACTACAGATTAAATAACCTGATGGATGAAAACCGTGTCATGCCTAAAATGAAGTATTAGATACATATTAGTTTATGTGCTGTATATAAAGATAATATGTATTTATGGAAATGTATTATTGATTGCATTATTGTGGTCGATTGCAGAGTTCGCAAGCACTCCCTAAGGCAATGGGCTGAGGGAACCACAAAGTGTAATATAATCTTAAAATGTAATCATTGGACCAGCAATATCTCTATTACATGAGAACTTTTTGAAAAATTCCAATTTTCAGGTGCAATCTCTGATCTGAATCAGAAACCCCTGGTGTTGAACCCAACTGCATTTTAACAAACATTCCAGGTAATCTTGATGTACATAAAGTTTGATAACTGTGGGCAAAAACAAAAGAATTGATCAAGTAAGAGAGCCTGTGTTCTAATTGTAGTTTTCAAGTGATGTCAGCAAAAATGGGGGTGGGTGATATAAGGATCTCTGAAAATGTTCTTTTCTATATAAGTCATGAGAATACTGGCAAAATTGTCAGAATCAACTTTTCCAGAACTAACCAAGAGCCTACAACCAAGGGATTGTTTAGTCAAGAAAAATGGTTGATTTTCCCTAAGAGCAGCAAGCTTTGTAACAGGTGGACCTGTCCCATTTCAACTTCTTGTTTCACTCTTGCTCTTTGTATGTGTCATGATTAAGTCAGTCAATGATTTGAGAGGAATTTCTTTAGAGCTTTTTAGGTTCATTCCTTGTAACACTGCTCTCTTAGGATTTTTCATTCTCTTGGGCAATTTTGAACCTTAACTTCTGTCTCCTTTATAAAAAGGACATTGTATAGATCACTTTCTGATTGAAATCCTCCTTGACACCATATTTTGGTAAGTGCTATAAGGGACAATATCAGGATGAATGGGACTCTTCCCTCATGATGTGGTTTCTTCTCTCTAGGATCACAGTCATACCCAGTTTCATAGTACACACAATTAACTCTTCCGTGCCTTCAGATATTTATTTTATGTATTTTCCTATTTTTCATGTTGCTTTCAGTGCGAAGGTTCATGTGAAAGAAGTTGTCATTAGCAGTTGCAACCAGGGCTCTACCAGACAGCTTTAAAACTTTTAGCAGGGAAACACACATTTTTAGTCGAGACACACATTTTTTAGCAATAGAATTACTTCCAAATCTTGAGAAACTTCTGTTTTCCTTTCCAGGTAGTTTTATGAGTCATTGGCCACACTCAAGGTTCTTTCTCAGATTTAGTTCTCAAGTGTGGCTCAGTTCTTTGCTTCCTCACCAGTTTTCAGTTTTATGGTGATTTCTTTGAGGCTCTCAGGCTTGGATGCAAAAAGTGGGTGCTTAGTCTTAGTTGGCCTTTATTGATCAAAACCTCTCCTAGTCTTTTCACCTCACGGTTTAGTGACTCATGTTTCTGGTCATTTATAGTTCAAAACTTCTGGAATTTTTTTAAATTTCTATTTTCAAATAGACATTTCTTGCCTGAACTTACCTGTTTCATCTTATACTTTGTTAAACAGTCACACTAATATTCTGTTTGAAACTTTTGCCCTTGGAGTTACAGATTCAATAGGTACTGTGACTGCCTCCCAGTACCACACAGTATTAGCTACTTTGAACCAAATTCTTTGAAATTATATAGCTTGTATATCTGTCATTTCAGCATCTGATGTCAGATGCCCCACCATCTGTTGAACGCCTATTTCTTATAAGAGATTGTGTAGTGACTAAGAACTCTAGATAATACTTTTAAAGCCCAATATGATATAGCTTAATACAATATAATTTTATTTCATGAATGCATGAAGTGCATCTA